TCAACGGGAATGGCCTTTCAAATCAAAGGCTAACTATCTTAAATAGCAATTCTTGCTTAAACAACTATAATGCACTTGACAACTTAATGCACTTGACATATCGCAGTGCAATTTTAATGGGATTTTTAGTACGGCTGATGTTGATGCTCAGTTGAGCTTGCTGGATACACATCTTCATTTCATTAATTCCGCTTTTCCTGTTAGATGAAATATTGTGAGAATAAAGAACGATGACTGGTACTAATCTCATGAGATTCGGTACAGTTTATCAGTAAGAGATCTTGCATATAAAGTATATTCATGTGAAAGTGAAGAGGGTTGAAAAATATTCGGTAAACTACGTAATAAACAAAAAAATTTAAGAGACTGGCCCATAAAGATATTTGCTCTGTAAAATTTAGAAACAAATTTGGCCAGTGTTATAAACGAATGGAGTTTCTTATGATACTGAGGATGTAGTAGATAGTGATGATCTTAAGAGTCTTAATTGTAATTTTGTGCGTAATCAGTCACGTGATAATATGCGTATGCCACATGTACCTGAATGTGTTGTTGGAGAGCTTTTTTCCGGTCTGTTTGTTGTGTGGAGGTCATGGAAGCTTTAAAATTAACTGGTCATGCCGTTGGCTGTGACGGATTTCAATTGAATTTCTTAAGACTAGTGTTTCCTTACTATGATTATGTTGCCCATACTTTTGTCACTACGTCTGTATTACCTGCAGAATGGAAGATAGCAAAAGTTGTACCGATTTCAAAAGGGCTCTAATGATCTGAGACCATTTTCTATAATGCCTTTTCTGTCTAAGTTTGTGGAACATTTAATAAATAAAATTATTACATACTTGGATGAGTCCTCTCTTCTACATGAAAGCCAGTATGAATTCCGGTGCCATCGCAGCGCAATATCGCTGCTTATTGGTCTGATCGACAACGTGAGGCAACAGTTCCCATAAACTAAAGACAATATTCATTGGGATCACAAAAATATATAAATAATTATTTTTAATGTATTGCGTATATATTAAATGTATTGTATATTAACCATTTGTGGCCCAATGTTGCCCACAGGCAACAAAATGTTATAGAGCTTATATTCAATAAGTAGCTAGTAGATATATATTATTTGGATTTCATATGTCAAGACCTGATTATGGACGACACATACCAAAAGAAAAATCAAAAAATTAAAATTTTTGGCAAATTTATGAGTTTTTCAATATAGAGAAGAGGGTAAATTTGTGTACACAGTCCAAATTATTTAAATCGCTTCGTATTAAAATTGTACGAATTCTGTCATCAGAATTATTTTTGTCTCTTGTAAAAATGAATATAGAGAATAATTTAAAATTATTTTTCTGTCGATTTTGCATTTGGTTTTCTTGATATTGGACTTTAATTCTTCCGAAAGAATGTACTGTATCTCCCGAATGCAAGGATGTAGCGATGCCAAATTTTGTTCATATCCTATTTAAGATATTTGCATTAAATCTGTGAACGGAAAGTTGTTCTAAGATTGCGGAAACAATTCGAAGCTCAAAGAGTTAAAAAATAATCTGCAATGCAAATTAAACAAATTATGTCTATATAGATATATATTTATTATGTCGCCAGTATTCACTTCAGATTTATGCATACACATAAGAGCTAACGAGGAACAGTGTGATAGTGTGAAGTCGGTATCTGTAACCGTACTTAAGACATACCCAAATTACATTTTTTTCGATCATTCCCACGCCACTCTTACCCGCCCCTGCCGACCGAGGGGGCCTCCTCCCCATAACGTAGGGAGAACGTACACCCCATAATCCGGATTATGGAGGGTTAGTAATGTTGGGGAACCCCGGCTACAGTAAACATCAGCCGGTTATACAATTTAAAGTTAATTCAGCACAACAATAAGGACAAACACAAACATCTGGCAACTGCTTGCACTCTACAGTTCTAAACGTAGAGTAGAATTTTTTATTACATGTATTGGATCAGATAAAGAGATGCCATTATACAGGTTGTTATATATTTCATATAGTGATCTAAAGGGATTACATAACTCATAATTAGGTCTCACTAAAGGAAGATAAAGCGGTATATAATTACGAGTAAGTCGAGCAGGTACATTAAACTTGATTTCACCGATTACAAATTTCGAGTCAATTTGACCGCGTAAAAGTTTTATTAAAAATATAGATCTTAGCATTAAACGTCTTCGTTCTAGTGTTGGAAGATTAATACGTTTTAGAAGATTTTCATAAGGGGGGAGTGCTTCAACTGTACTCCAAGGCAAACCTCTAAGAGCAAATAAGAGGAATTGTGTTGGGACAGATTAGATTTTTTTAGAATAACAACTGTAAAACGGACTCCACAATGCACATCCATATTCTAATGTAGGCCGAACTAGACTAACAAATAAACGTTTTGTCACATAAGGGTCGTCAAACTCTTTAGACCATCGTTTTATGAATCCTAGTAAAGATTTGGCTTTATTTACGCATGACTCAATATGCAAATTAAATCGCAATTTATCATCTAAGATAACGCCAAGATCAACAAAGGAGTCAACATTGTCTAATTTGTAAGATCCTATAAAATAATCGGTAGGAATTGAACGACATTTAGAGGCATATTTTTTGAAATTTTTTAAGATTCAAGAGAGTGCAAATCATTTTGAAGAGTAAGGGCTTGATTTTGTGAGTCTAAATTTTTTGAAAAGTTTTACATCATCAGCACACATCAACACTTTAGAAAATTGTGTTCATAATTTTTGAGTTATGATTACGTTTGATGCTATAACAACGCATCCTCGGGAAATCTTAGAAGTTTATATAGCATATGTTATTCCCAGGGCATGTTATGACGTTCTGTGAAAATCTCTGTCAAATCTTTTCAGCATTTTTCGAATCTACAATCAAAAATTTTTCAATTTCAATATGCTGATTTTTAAAATGCAGTAAAATGTGAATTTTCCGTTGATCGTACCATGCTCATTTTTATATGGATGGTGTGTATTCACACCTTCGTTATTCAGACAAATTTTGAAAACGGTATCTGTAACCGTTCTTAAGATAAACGCATATTACATGTTCAGAAATTTTGAGGTATGTTTACTATTGATGCTATAACTCCGCATCCACGCGGAATTTTAATAGTTTATATAGCCTATGTTACTTTCAGGGCATGCCCAGATATACAGTGTAAATCTCGTTAAGATCTGTTCAGCGGTTTTGGCGTCTATCAGTAACATACAAACAAACAAATTTTTTTATATTTTATATATATAGAAATATAGATATATAAATATTTATTATGTCGCCAGTATTCACTTCAGATTTATGCATACACATAAGAGCTAACGAGGAACAGCGTGGGCTTTGAATTTGGTTTCTCAAACGATAACGGTAAGCTGATGCTGTGCTTACCGGTATCGTTATTAAGATTTGCAACAATATATTTATATTTGGAAATAGATTTTCGTCACATACTTCAATCGCATCAAGTGGATTACATGGTCGGGTTCTTTACTTTCCACATAGTGATGCATAGATCCACTTCAGTTCCTACTTCCTGCTTACAATTTCAAACATGTTTTTCAAAAAATTGTATGATTTCTTTAAAAACTTTATATGAACATTTTATAATTATTAATGACACTACATTTGATAATGTATTAACTATTATTTCATTTTTCAGAAACCAGCTTGTCAAATTTACAATTAGTTCGCCAAATATGGGACACATAACACAGTTCTATAAAAAGATTCGGAGTTCGAACTCAGTACATTTGACCTGTACTTTTGCATACCAACCCTTTGCAATAATTTTTGTTTCCCTGTACATTTTGTGGAACTCCTTGTCACTATTTTGTCGCATAGATTTTAACTTATCTACTACTACATACACAAACATTGTTTATATGATTTGGCAAGGTTTAGATTAAAAGTCTGTAGAACCTGGGACACGTGTTGGGTGTCAGCGAGAAGTTACGGTTACACAATTTTGTGATGAAAATTTACTGCATCGCAACAACCTTATAACAGAAGTATAATTTAATATGTTAATATTAATTTTGAAAATAACATAACAAAATAACATTATTTTAAAATAACATTACAGCTGTATGAAATAATAATGGTTTGATCTAGCACCCATTTCTTATTTATTGGATATAAATCCAAATTAAATCGTACTATTTCCCCCACTTCTCCGAACGATTCTATTATGTATTCTATAGATTTCGTTGCATAAAGTAGCAGATCTTTTTGGTGCGTTTCAAAAATATGTTTCGAATTTCTCGAATCTTCGAAGCTGCATTTAAACATAAATTTAAAATGTGAGAGCATGTATTCTACTGAAACTTAGACTTAGTAAATTTGGCTTAATAATAAGCCGCCATACCCTTGACCTCTCTCTGCGTACGTCCAATGTTCAATGTTTTTAACAATAATTCTTATTTTTAAATATTTAATCAAAAAGTTTTCGTACAATGCAATCCTGTGGTAACTTGTGAGAGAGATATTACATTCCCACCATTATGCGACACGTTTCGCCGTTGGTTAACTTACTCATCAGGCATATTGGGCAACATTACAAATGTCGTCAGTTGTTGAAATTATTTGTTGTATTTTTGCTGTTACCTTGTATAATTCTATCAAAGCCATCATAGTCATGACCATGTAAAATCATGAAAAATCGAAACATATATCTGCATGAGACTACCTTGCATAATTATGCCATGGGTACAACAGTGCAAAACATGTATATTTTGAGGGTAATGTTTATTTTGGTCCTGGATGACGTTTATCCTATTTTCGAAGATTTTGATAAATTTGAATGTTAACGAAAAATCTTGGCAAAACTTTTAGCAATTTCATTATCATTCACATAATTTTTATAAATTTTTTATTAAATATTAAAACATAAACTCAGAAATAATAACGCTAAAGAAGAAAACAAAAATTAAATTGATCATTATTTTTTATTGATTCTGAATCTTATTATTTTTGCAGAATTTTGAGAGAAATGAAATTGTTAAAAAGAGATGTGCGTGCATCATTCAACATGAATTCTAGTTATGAAAATAGCTGCTTTGGCATGACTACCAACATATCAGAAAGGCAGAACACCGAAATAAATATACCTGCAACTCCTCCTTCTAACCGAAGAACGCGACACTGGAACAACTCAATAGAAAATAAAAAAATAATATCATCTCCATCAGAAGGGGAAACCCTAATTAAACCATTCAAATGTACTTTGTCCCCCATAGGAAACTGGTGTACTCCGAAGAAGAAACAATCAGTAAATTCTAAAGAAGTGTTATTTACTGCGACACCAATTAATGGGCATTTCATTAATGTATCTTTGGATGGAAATTCTTTGCGTTTGACGAATGAAAGTTCGAGATGTGGTACCCAAGTGGAGTCGTCTTTGTCATTGGCATTACAAAACTTCAAAGCCAAACGTACACTCAAAAACGTGTGTTTTGACAATAATGTAATATGTCAAAAAACTAAAAGTCCCCAAAATGTGTGTTCCTCAAAATCAAACAATGTCATTACCTTACAACCAGGAAAATGGAGGAAATCTTTGAATACATGGCGACGAACTCACTCAATACCCTCAGGTTAGTATATGGTAATGTGGTATACCCATTTTTATTTTTTATCTGATTAAATAGAAATTTTACAATTAACATGCTACATTTGTTGTCTTTCCATGTATAAATTTGAAAATAATATTATACTAACATTTTAAAAGATATTCAAAATTCCATTATAAGTGATTTTAAAAAAACTGCAGGTAATGTGATGTTAATGTGGTATACTATAATTTTCACTTCCAATTGATATATTATTTAATTAATTGTTTTTAAAGAATGTGAATTAGCTCGAGATTTATATCTGTTAACATTTTTTTAATTTTATTTATTTTATTATTTGATAGATTACAATTACTTTTTACAATTAAATTACATTTTCATAGACCTCTTAACATTTTTTATATGAGAAGTATTCTCAACGTCATCTAAATTAAATAGTGTTATCTAAATTACACATTGAATCAGACAATATCATCTGCATAAATCAGAATTTTAATCGGTGAAAGTTACGTTGACACTGTGGGGAAGTGTATCAGGCAAGCAAAACATGACTTAATACACAGCCTTGTCAACAGAAAACGGTTGTTATAGTGCACTACCAACACGACTTTGGATAATATTATTTGTATAAAAATGCTGTAGCATGCGAATAAATGTAGAAGATAAACCGATTGATGAAAGTTTGTAAAATAGAGAGTTTCTGGGAATCTTATCAAAAGCACAAGAAACATCAAAGAAAAACGCATATGTGTTTTTCGGACGGCGTGTTTGAAGATTAATGCCTTTTGTCTTTGCAGCATTTATTTCTAACTTATTCATTGCCATTGATTGATTCTTCCGAAGATCATGAATTAAATAATAAGAAAATAACATTAGCATAGACATACGGCTGGCAAATGTTACTTACAAATATTATAATATAATGTCAAATATTACTTATTAGGATGAGGAAAATTAAATCCATTATTGTTTCGGCAGATGGCTGTACGGATAGATTTCTCGTAAAGTATCGATCAAACAATTTCAGATTTATGCTCGTTGGAAGGGTGACATTTCGCAGTAAAAAATTTATGTTGCTGATTTTTGTGTGGCGCATTCAGTTGTGAGTTTCAGGGTGTTAAAAATGGACCTGAACAAATTTTACCGGTTTTCTTTCACAAAGACGATATGCAAGCCAAGTAGCTAAAATTGTGATTGGTGTTTGTGGTTCCGATACTGTAAAAGCTAATTATGTGCAATTTTGGGTTGAGAGGTGGAATCTTATAGTGATTCAGACTTTGGAAGATGTATTGAGACGGGTAGATCTAAATCCGGTTTTGTAGCTTTTTTGTAAAGGAAAAGATGCTGATTTGAAAGACAATGTATTGCAAATATCCACTGAGAATCAAATTGCTAAAGGTTTTTATGTTCTAAATTAAATATATGTTAACTTATAAAAAAAGGAAGTGTTGAGTATTTTTATAAGAAAACACTAGATTATCGTACACTTGTTATTTGAAACATAATATGCTTTGAAAATATTTCCTGTTAACCAAGGTTTATTCATAAGGTTAAAACGGCATATACGTTAGAACTTTTTAGCGGGTTAACCTACTTTATGAGGATTATTTGACATATATGCAAAGGAATTGACAATTGAAACCCCCTGGGTTAACGAAATCCAGTTAAATGTAAACGTACTATAAAATACTTTTGAACACAATACGACAAACAACGTTTAATTTTGTAAACGGGCTATTAATATGATTTTTTTTACGAAGTTCTAACGCCTGTCTTTCACACCTCTGCCGACCGAGGGAGCGACCTTCCCTTGCGTAGGGATCGCGTACACACCATGATCCGTATCATGATGGGATTTGAGAGTGTTTGTTATTAAGGGAACCCCCCCATTCTCGATTTTTTATTTTTAAGATTTTAAATGGGCTGGTAAATGAATACCAATGCTTGTTAAGGTTTGTAACTTGGCACATATATATTTGAAGATTTAAAAAGGAAGAAAAATAATTTACCAAAATTTGTTGTTGTTGTTTTGTTGTTGTTTTTTGGGTTCAAAGAAAAGTCCATATTTTTTATGGCGGGCATGATAACTCCTCACTGGAACATCGGAATCCGAAAATTCCAACGGTGTTAGAAAGAGTACATGTCTGGCTCTCGTATGAACTAGGATTATTGACTTCGCTCTAAAATTAACAAAATGGTGGACCTGAAAAATCGCCGATTTTTGACCAAAAACCAAGTTGAAAAATGTGGAAGATCTTCACCGATTGGCTTTATCCTAGTTCATACGAGAGCTATACACTCCCAGAGAAACGTTGCAAAATTTGGAACCGATTGGATTATTAGTTTTTGAGTTATCGTGCCCGCCATTCGCAAAAAAATGTTTAGAGAAAAACGCGTTTAAAGTTTGAGAAGCCCTTCAGCCGTCACTTGATGCTGACACAATAAATCGGATATATCTTCAACAGTTCTTGAGATTTTCACTTGAAATTTTGTAGAGACATTCTTTAATCAGTGTAGATTCGAATTATATCAACAAAAATTTTGACCCCGAGAATGGGGGGGGGGTCCCCTTAAGTTTTACTATTTATTTAAAAATACAATAATATTAGATTTTATTTGTTCTACGCTCAAGCAAAAATCTACATTAGAGTATACAGAGTTACTTTTTACTAAGAGGATCTCCCATAGAGTAATTCGTGCGGTGGAAGTCTACATATAACAGTGTCTACTAGATCGGACAGGAACATTTATTCTAATAGAAGAAATTAGGAAATCCGAGGGTATATTACCATTTAATATTTTTAGTACCATCATAGTATTCAACATAATACGTCTACTTTTCAATGAAGGCAAACGAATTAATTTTAACCTGCTAATATAAGATGGCAACACAAAACTACTATTCCAATGTAATCCTCTCAGTGCAAAAAGTAAAAATTGTTTCTGCACGGATTCGATTTTTTAAAAATATATTGCATATTGGGGATCCCATACAACAGAACCATATTCTAAAATAGGTCTAACAAGAGACGTAAATAGTTGTTTCGTTATATATGGATCCGAGAATTCTTTGGCCCACCGTTTTATAAATCCTAAGACACCATAGGCTTTATTTACCATAGATATAACATGATTGTTAAAATTTAATTTTGGATCCATTAGAATACCAAGATCAACGAAAGAATCTGCAGTTGATAAAACCGAACCATTAATATAGTAATGTCTTATCGAAGAAGAATTTCTAGAAAAACACATATGTTTACATTTATTTAAATTCAAGTCCATACAATTTAGGCTGCACCATTGAAATGGGCTAATTAAATCATGCTGGAGTAAATCAGTTTGCTTTTCAGAATGATGGGTAATGAACAACTTGATATCATCTGCATACATTAGCAATTTGGAATGCGATACAGAATTTGGCAAATCATTTACAAACAATAGAAAAGAATCGGGCCTAGGTGACTTCCTTGCGGAACACCTGATGGAACATTAATCGATTTTGAAAGACATCCCTCAAACAAAACTAGCTGTGTCCTATTTTGTAAGTAAGATGAAATCCAATTTACCAAATTTATACTAAAACTAATATGATTTAATTTATAAAGTAGAAGTCCATGGTTAACCCTATCGAAAGCTTTACTAACGTCTGTATAAATTGTATCGGTTTGTTTACGCTGAACAAACCCCTTTATCACACTAGAAGTAAAGTGTATAATATTGGTCAGCAACGTACACAGGTTTTCATTTGGGGGGAGATTGGTAATAGTTGAAAGACCACTATGAAAACCATGTTGATATGGACTTAACAAGGGTTGAATTTTGTGTGAAATAACGGTAGTAATTAACTTTTCGAACAATTTTGGAATAGCACTTAATTTTGCAATTCCTCTATAATTCGAGACATTTGTTAGACTACCAGACTTGTGTAAGGGTATTATATAAGACTTCTTCCAACAAGTAGGAACATAACCATATTTAAGGGAATAATTAAATAATAACGGTAGAGGTAATGCTAATGTATTTGAACAATTCTTTAGAATTATGCTGGTTATACCACCAGGGCCTGGACATTTAATAGGTTTTAAACTACGTAGATTTTTAGAGACCTCTCGACTTTGTAAGAAGGGCATAAATATTATGTATAATATAATATTATTCTTGGTTATTTTATTTTAAAATTGTAGGCTTAGAAGAAACTTTTCTTTTTACATTAACAAATTAATAAAATGATTTTGGATTGGATTTAAAATTATCCTTAATCTTTCTAAGATAAAGATTATACAACCTTCGGGATTCTATTGTATATTTTGATCTAGCAACAGAATAGTTAGCATAGTCTATAGTGGAGCCTGATTTTTTATAGTTTCTAAAATGTTTATTTTTTGAGTTTTTATACTTGACAATTCGCGTGTATTCCATGGATGTTTATCAGAGTTTCTAGTTCTAACAGTAGGAACACATTCAGAAATAAATTTGTTTAGAGTAACATAAAATGTATCTATTGTAAACTCGAGATCAATAGGACTCTTACAAAGGCATATAGAGGTCCAATTTACAGATGAGATAAGTGAGTTGAGTTTGCAAAAGTTCGTTTTTTTTATAGTTAAAAGTAGTTTTTAATGAGTTTGACGAATTGTCAGAAATAAAATAATCATGTACCATGGATATACATAAAGTTGGGTGATAATTATCTTCA